GGACGCCTTGCTGCGTCTCCAGCAGATCCAGGGAATCCACGGAAAGGGTCCGCGCCGCTGCGTTGCCTCCCTCGGGAAGGCGCTCGGAGGGAAGCAAAGCCTCGGCAGGCAGCCGGCGGGCTGGCTCTGAGCTTCCTCACGGTCCTGGAGGGACCCTCTCCCTGGACGCTCGCTAATGCGAGCAAACAAACCAAATCGGGCACTTTTGCAGCTGTATGACAGAGTAAAAGAATGATTCTTTTTATTTTCTGGGATGGTGGGAGGGAAAAAGTAGATAACTACAGCAAGAGAATCCTTAAAATCAGATATTATAACTTAAAAGAGCTCTGAGCTTCCTCACGGTCCTGGAGGGACCCTCTCCCTGGACGCTCGCTAATGCGAGCAAACAAACCAAATCGGGCACTTTTGCAGCTGTATGACAGAGTAAAAGAATGATTCTTTTTATTTTCTGGGATGGTGGGAGGGAAAAAGTAGATAACTACAGCAAGAGAATCCTTAAAATCAGATATTATAACTTAAAAGATTGCTTGCTGTGCTGTCAGCAGCGGAAGTGTGAAGTTGCGCCTTTCATCCGTTTGTTGTACGTTTTGGTCCCTTACCTGCCACACGTCTGCGGTGCGAAGGCTGCGAAGCGTGTCATTGCAAGTGGGAGAACAGGACGTCAGAGTCGGCTGCTGCCATGGAGAACTGAACAGCAGAGTTCACCCCAGATCTCCTGGTGAGCCGTGGTCTAGACTTGAGATTTATTGAGCAAGTCCCAAGCTGATAAATTTTCTGCGCAGGGAGCAGTAGCAGTATTTACTCTCAGATTATTTCGGAGTTGCTTCTCTTGCCAGTGAATTCTGATCCTGTTGCAGGATTCCCACTGAATGTGAGGATTTGTTTAACAAGACTTGGGCCCTTCGGGCCATCGAATTATATTGCTCTTGAAAGCAGTGGGTGTCATAGCCTTTTTGGCTGCCTTGAAGGTGTGACTTATTGACCATGAAGATGGAATAATTAAATTACTGGGAATGGAAAGTGTACATCTTAGTGTACCAGTTCAGTCTTCTCTTCATCTAACTTAGAAAATGGAGTTCTGGGCAGGCATGTTATGTGGAGCATTTAAAATGTGGTTTGAAAAATGTAGGTTGGAGAACATATATATGGCTGAAGATGTTTTCTTAAGGTGAGGGAGCTGACTGTTTGGCAGAAGTGTCCCTTGTCTCAAAACCAAGCGGTGTGCTGCTGTGATCCCACTTTTCTGGAGATGTCTGAATTACAGTAGTGTGGCATTTACAAAGCCAGGAAACACTCCAGGATGGGACTCGATCGACGTGCGGGATACGGACTTAGTTGACTTTTCATCTCTTCTTCCTCCTGATGTTCAAAGTTCTGGCCTTGGGTTTGTTTGTCTTAGATTGCAAAACCAACAAGACAGGCAACATCTTAAATATGCTTAAGTAGTCATCAGGGACACGATCTGTTTTGGAAGACAACCTCTTTATTTTATTCTTTTTTTTTCAAAGTGTGGACACATTCATCCTACAAGAAAAGAACAAATCCCAATGCTTTTTGGGAAACAGATTGGACTCTTGACAGTCACATTTCCACAAGTCACTTTATCATGACTGAAGTAATCCATGTAAAAGAAAAATCGTGACAATTACATATCTGCCTAAAGCAGAAAGGGCATTAATCTGTCTTTTGTGATTTTCACAGATACACTGGGGACATCATGAATTGGAATAAAGGTGGACCTGGCACTAAGAGAGGCTTTGGTTTTGGTGGATTTGCCATAACACCCGGAAAGAAAGAGGAGCCTAAGCTCTCTCAGCAGTCCCATAGTGCTTTTGGAACAGCCGGTTCTTCTGCTGCGTTTGCAAAATCAGGGCCTCCTCAGCTGCCTTCTTTCTACAAAATTGGGTCAAAGCGAGCAAATTTCGATGAAGAGAATGCGTAAGTAGAGTTATTTCTTGTGTTTAGCTCTAGATTTCAGTGTTTTAAAGTTTCCAAGGTCAGGGAAAGTACCTGTGACGTTTGTGAGGTTTAGTTATTTAGAAGAGTCTGCTCAAGGACAAGTACCCTAACGCTGCATTGTGCTGTAACAGAAACCCAGTAGCTTTACAGCAACAGTGTCAAGAAAAACTGAGCTGATCATCTGCAGGTGCTCCCACCTTCCTTTGCAGCAGACTTTTGGTGTCGCCCTGGACGGGTTATTTACCCTTTCCCTGGGTAAATCGGCTGTAAAATGAGAATGGTAGCACATCCTTGCCTTTAAATATATTTAAAAGACTGTGAGATACCACAGCAGCCCATGGAGAGCTCTCCCCTCCCTGAGAACGTATCTCAGCTGAGCCTCAGCCACCTGGATCTCATTCATGCTGTGGTCTGAACAAAGCTTTGCCTGAGGTGGTGCAGTCAGAATTGCAGCCAAGCAGGATAAATTTGGGTGCCTTTTGCCCAGGCAAACATGCAACTTCACATTTCTTTACTAACCCTTCTATTAGCTGCATAAATGTGTTGAACAGAAGGGAAGGGAGGTCAGAAAATCATCCTGTACCCACCAGCCTGGGAGAGCCACTCAAGAAGATCAGTTTCATAACATCTATTTGCTCTCCCACCACTTTTAGCTTACAACATGGATAATTGTAAATAAGTAAATAAATCTCAGTACCTTTTCCTGCACACATACTGACTTTGATTGTCCATCTCTATGTGGGAAACCTGACTCCACTCAGAAACCATGGAAGCCAGCATGGTGCTGTAGACTATGTGCTGACTGGGCCGTTGTTTGTTTCTTTCCAGGTACTTTGAGGATGAAGAGGAAGACTCCAGCAATGTCGAATTGCCGTACATTCCCGCAGAGAATTCCCCGACTCGCCAGCAGTTTCATTCCAAATCAGCAGACTCGGACAGCGATGATGACCCTCTGGAGGCATTCATGGCTGAAGTGGAGGCAAGACCCGGCTCTCGAAATGCTTATGAATTTGTTTGGCCATGCTTCTCTCCAGTCAGCAGCAGCAAGTGTCACTCATGACTTCAGCAGCTGTATTCAGAATATCACTTAGCTTTTGGGGTTTTCGTAGGATGCTGTGATAATTACAGCTCAAAAGTGGATTAGGTGGGGAGGGGATGGATACAATTTACAGCAGTGTAACTGATTGACTGTTTGGAGCATGTCAGGGCAGGACAACAGAGAGCTTTGTGTGTCTCTGAATACGAAATTAAGGTCTTGTGCATTTTACGCTACCTGAATTGAAATGATTTGTGTTTATCACGAGCTGTTCCTTAGCTACAGTTCTGTTATTAGCTGGATTCTATCACGGTGTTTTCGGGAAGAATGCGGAGAAAATATTTTTTCAGCAATATTGCCACGAAGTTACAGTGTATAAATTTCAAAGGAGAATTTATTTAGCATAATAGGATATGGAACAAGAGAAAGTTTAGTCCGAAAAGCGTTGTCTCTGTGGCATGGTGGTCTAATTATGTAGGAACATTTTTCCCTTCTGTGTTTTATCATCTTGGTTTTTTTAACATACCATAATTTTATGACCTGTTAGGATCAAGCTGCTCGAGATATGAAGAGACTTGAAGACAAAGACAAAGAAAAAAAGAATGTCAAGTAAGTTCTCTTTCATAATTCCCATGCCTGCCTGTGTGTTTTACGGTGCTACGAGAATTCCAACGCGTTTTGTTGATGATGATTGCTCTGTAGACAACAAAATATATACCCAGTAAACAGCATTAACCAGCACATGATATCCCCCATGGATAAAGTTCTGTGCAATGAAAATTGGATAATAGGAGGGAAGAATCCATGGCAGCATCCGATGGCAAAATGTAGCAACGCTGAGGGTTACCTCACGCAAGGAGCCTTTCTAGGCCACACAAAGTGGAGCAGTGTGTTGCACTACTGCCACCTTCCAGATCAGCCTGGAAAGTTTTCCTTCTTTCCACATCCTTGCCGTGATCAGGATGGTGTAGTTTAAAATTGCAGTTATGGGAGCAAACTAACTCAGTGCTGCTGCACCTGTAGTACTGGAAATCCTTCCAAACTTGGACTAGATTTTAAGACATTCCCTGTAAAGCTGATATATTAGGGAGCATGTGACAATTGGGATACGAAATTCGGAGTTTAAGAACAGTTTATGGTTTTGCAGCTTATCTATCTGTTTTGACCAAGGAAAACAACCGCGCTGTTGATGCTTGATCTAAATGTCAGATACGTTGGTAGAACTTGCGTTGCATGGGGTTGATCAGATTATACATGGTCCTGAAACAGAACACCGGATCCAAATCACCACCTGGGGAAGTTCTGAACTGGATTTGCACTTCCTGGCTCATACTCCTCTTCAGTTATGGGACTTCTGTAGCATCGAGAGCTTAGACCAGGATGATCTTTGATGTGGCTTCTACCGGGAAGACGGAGTCCTAATCTCTCAGTCTCGTTACTAGAAGTGAACAGAAGTCTTTGCAGGGTCGCTGTTGTGATTGGCACCACTATGGAAACACCATGGGTTGGGATTATAAATGTTACTGAGTTGTTAGTGTTGTGTCTTCCACGCAATATGGAGCTCAGCACTAATCGAATGAAAGCATGGAGCTGAGTCTGTGGAACACTTGCAGGGAAGTTTTTTTCTCCGCTTGTTTTTCCAGGGGTATTCGAGATGACATTGAAGAGGAAGATGACCAAGTGAGTTCCTATGCAGTCTTTCTATTTTCTTTTTTGTTTGGTTTATTTCTTTTTTCTTACGTTCCCTCCCCAAATATGTGACTACTAGGTGCAAACAAAACTCCAGTATCATGCACAGTATCTGGACAATTCAG